GTGCAGTACCATATTGTGTAGATGCAGCAGGGGGCAGTATTGGACCAATACAAGGCTCCATTGACTGCCATTATAATTTATTAAACATTAAATTTTCAAAAACTATAAGTTTTACAGGCACCAAAATGCATAGCCATCATTTCACACAGGAGCTTTACAGATATAAATTACAATGACAGCTGTAGGACAAAGTATGCGGGAGGAGAAGCATGCCAAATTTGAGATGACTTGGATGGGAAACGAATCACAATAGACTAGAGAATGTGCATTTGCTGCAAAATGCAATGTGAATGCTTTCTGATAAAGATTTTTGCTGAAACGTTAAAAAAGCTGAAACTAGCCTAAAATATTTTTAAAAGTAGTTGAAATAGCTTGAAGAAGAAGAAGAAGAAGAAGAAGAAGAAGAAGAAGAAGAAGAAGAAGGAATAAGCACGTTTGCCAAATTAAGCAGTAAGTAGCTGAAATGATCACAAAAGGTGAGTTTAGCTGAAAAAAGCTCAAATTAGCTACAAAATAGCTAAAACACAGAAAACAGCTGAAATTAACAGAAATCAGCTTTAAGAAGTGCAAAAAAKTTGAAGAATAGCAAAAAATGTCAGAACGATTGCTAAAAACAGCTAAAAGCTCAAATCAGCAAAATATAAGCCAAAGCAASCTGAAATTAGGAGTTCAAACAAGCAGAACTAGAACAAAAGGTAAAAACGACAATAAAGGTTTTTGAAATTTTTAAAGGTTTTAAGGATGTTGCAAACAGTTCAGTTTATTTGTAATGAGAAAAACATGACAGAAAAAAGCTAAATATTTTCAAAAGTATAAATTGCTGAAGTATCAAAMGTCATAGCTGGAATGTCCTGAAGGAGACGAACGTTTTGATTTATCAATTGTTAAAACARCGCAAAAATTGCAGAACAAGATACAWGTCGAAMATTTGAAAGAAAATATTTGCACAATGATTCGATGGTTGTTATCCAAAGGGTCTGATTCTTMCACAGAACTGAAAACCCCTCAGTCTGTTTGCTCACTGAGCCTCACAAAACCACCAAATCTGCATCACTTTCACAGACTGAACTTTTCTCCTCAACAGGACTGAACAAAATATTCAGATTTAACAGGATTACAATATCAATGTGAGCACTATTCATTTTACAAAAGAGTGCAATCCATCACAGATACAGACTGCATGCCAAAAACATGACTGGAAATCTGATGGACCCCTGCAACTAATTTAAATGATAGTGACCAAGATGCTGAAATTCCCACAGGGTTGTTATGAGCATCGGGATGACAGAGCAAGAGGAGTGAGACAAAATGTGAGTTTATGGCAATTGATAGTGTTATTGTTCTGTGAAATGATAAAACTGCAGCCTCAGAACCTGATCTAATGCTGTCAGGTTGGATGTGGAAACCACCAGAAGGSCTGAAACTCACCTCAAAGTCCTCGAGGGGGAACTGCAGCATGTCTCTGAGGACATCACTGAGGATCTGCGTCTTCCTCTGAACCAGCACATTTTCATAATCCAGCGGCTCGATCACCTTCCGTTTCGCCTGGAGAACACACAAAACGAAGTTACTAAAAAACTGACGATAACCAATRACACAGAGACAAATTATTGGACATACATAATAATTAGGTCAAATCATATAGGTGCTTATTGAGCAGCTGATCAGTTTCTCAGTGTTGCAGTTCTCAGTCATACCCCTGCCAGAAACATTTCAGCTTTCCTGTTCATAAKAAATGACKCAGTRAATCTTTCAACAGTCAAAAATCATCTCACAACCTTTGCATGGGTCTGCATGGAGATCAACTGGGTGATTTTCATTTGAGACAAGAAAAACTGTCTAGATTAAAAAACATTTCAAGCAGTGTTTTATTCTGTTCGATCACGATCTGGTCAAATTCTGACTGACTGGTTGTGTTCGGGTCAAACACAAAACCAGCAGAAACGAATCAGAACTTCATACTTTGTTAACATCAAGATATGGAAGCTGCCAGGAAATAATACAAAGAACAAAAAAGATAGAAGAAGAAAGAAAAGTAGAAAAGTTGTTTTTATTTAATTTTTCTGACGACACAACCCAAAAAAACTTGGATGAAGTCCTGCAACCATTTCTGAAGCAGAACTAGTTTTGCAATCATAAATAACTACCATCTTTTTATTATGGTCTGTTTAAAGCTGCTGTATGTAGTTTCTTGAAAACCCAAAAACTTATAAAAATTTGAAGTAGTCCCTCCCCCTGCTCTCAGCTCCACTTCCTAAGCTCCTC